TCTCTTTTTTTTTTTTTTTCATTAAATTCCATCTTTACTTTTACTTTTTTCTTCCTTCTTGTTTTCTTATTATTAATTTTTTTTTTTTTTTGTGTTTCGTGTGTTTTTTCACGACATTATCTGATTTCCTTCACGTTTGCTACTATTAAAAGTCACATTTCCAAAAAATGTTTTTTTGATAATCATCTCCACTGCTCACGACCTTAAAAAAAATTTTTTTTTTTTTTGTCTAAATCTTTTCCTTTTCTCTTTCTCCCATCTCGTTAAGCCCTATATTTTTTATATCTAAATATTTTAATCTCGAGATTGAGTTTTTAAATTAAAAATAGTAATGATAATAATAATAATAATATTAAGAGGTAAAAATTACCGGCTAAACAAAAAAAAAAAGGTTTCGCATTTATTTTGTTATAATTAAATCCCCGAGTTTATTTTTTCTGACAAGTAAAATACCAACCGTGGCATCAGAATCACCAAAGCTGGAACCGGATACACAAAACAAAATTTATACAAAGTTGTTTGTTTTAAAACAAACGACAATAGAAAAAAAAAAAAAAATCCGCTTAAAAAAAAAAAAAATTAAAAGTAAAAATAAAATTTAACCTTAAAAAAAAAAAAAAATAATAACTTTAAAGCAACGACCCGACATGAAATGATATGAGAAAGAGAGAGAGAGAGAGATAAAATCAGGGTTACCAATAGTAATAAATAAATAAAAATACTTTAACGATAAAAAACAAAAACAAAAAAAAATTGAAAAGTTAAAAACAATATCAACAACGAGGCATAAAATAAATTTTTTGCCACAAAAAAAAAAAAATTTTTTTTTTTTAAACTTTTCGTTATTGCCATTATTATCATCATCATCGTTACTTCCATTTCTATTATCATTATTATTATTAGAACTTCAATATTACAGGTTTTATTGGGAAACTACTTATTGTCTTCAAACTCAAATTTATATATATATATATATATATTTAGTTGGATCATTTTTTATTATTTTTCTTTTCCCCCCAAAAAAAAAAAATTATGAAAAGTTATTATTTTCCGGTACAATTTTTTTTTTTTTTAATATAAGTTTTTAAAAACAACCTTTTTTATAATTCGAATGATAAAATGAAATATTTATTATCATCATCATCATCATCATCGTTATCATAATTTTTAATAATAAAAATACTTTTCAAAACACGTTTTCACACGTTTTCTTTTCCTGTTTATTTCAATATTTGATTTCGTTGAATTTATAACCGAACATTGACGAAAAAAATTTATTTTAAATTATTATTATTATTATCACTACTTTGTGTTTAACAAAAAAAAGGAAAAAAATTAATGACTTTTCGGTAATTAATTATTTAAAAAAAAAAAAAAATTAATCCCCCGTTCATCTAGTTCCCTTTGATACAAAATAAGAAAAAAATGATTTCGACATTGAAATAAAGTCATGATGAATACATAATAAAATTTACAACCTCGTATAAATTGAATGGACACGAAACGAATAACAATCGTTTTTTTTTTTTTTTTTAAATCCGAACGGTTCGTGTGTTATGTAAAAAAGAACTTTAAAAACTTCTTCTTTCGTCTTTCGCCTTGTACCACCACCATCACTACTACCACTACCACTACCACCTACATCACTTCCATCACCACCATCCAATTCCTCTTAAGCATTTAAATTTTAAATGGGTATTTTAAAAAAACGAAATCTGTCATTGACTATCCGATAAATGAGTCATTTCGATTCTCACGTTCCTTAAAAATAAAAGAATAATAATGATAATAATAAGTAATTCCAGGTTAACTAAAAAAAAAAAAAAAAAAAAAAAAACCTTGACCGAATTACAAGTTTTTTTTCTCTCTCTCTCTCTCTACCTATTAGTGTTTAGATAATTATTTTTGACTTGTTCCCGTGATCGAACCACCGACTAATAACTTGGGAACGAAAATAACAATGATGATGATAATAATAATAAAATCATTACAATTCCAGGTAAATTTTTTTTTTTTTTGTTCTTTTTGCATTTCCTTTTCCCCCGTTTGTATTCTTTACACGCGCATATAAACAATAATCCTCTCGTAAATTTTTCTTTTTCTTCTTCCACTTCTTGTTCTTATTACGATATAAAGTCATTTATTTTGTTTTTTTTTTTTTTGTTTTTGTTGTAGAAAAATGAGAGAAAGAAATTCCTGAGGTATTTTTATATATACGACATGATCGAAAAATTGTAATAAATTACGCAGAAATCCTTTTCCTATTGCTCCTCCTGCCACCACCATTTCTTTCGTGTGTGTGGGAGAGAGAGACGTTTTTAGGTACCGAATGGAAAAGCAAATACAAATAAATTTTATATTCGAATTTAACATTAGAAAATATTATTTAATCGTTTAAGTTTTTCCTTCCTCCCCCTCTCCCCTGTCATTCCCACAACATTTATACCCATCAAATTTAAAGGTTATGAAAAGAAATATTGCCTTTGAGCGTTTGAAACTAATCTAGTAGGAAAATCAAATTGCTGCTGTTTCGGATTTAAGTAATAAAAATTTATATCTAATAAACTTCAAATCCATTTTTTTTCTCCCTCTCTCTCTCTCTTCCTCCCCCTCCTCATCTTGTTTTTATCTTAATCTTTTCATCGTTCTAATTTCTCTCTCTTTTCTACTTTCTCAAACTATACGAGTAAAATCGGATTCACTTCCCTTTCTATCTTCTCGTAGATTAGTTACGATAACTCCCCATCATCCCTTAAATGTATCAATGATGGCGATAAAAACAACAACAACAACAACAACAACAAGAACAACAATCACAACAACAACAACAGAAAAAAAAAAAAAAAAAAATTTAATTGGAATTAATAAAAATCCATGCTGACACGATCGATATCCGCTTTAACCGATAAATAAATTTCGATTTATATATTTTATTATTATTATTATTCGTTAAGAATGTTCTCGAAACGATTTAGATTTCGGTAAAGGAAAAGAAAAAAATTTTAATGATATTATTTTTATCCGAAGAAACGAAAATCATCTCGTAACGACGAACGAGAGAGGGTTAAAAACAAACGTTGAAAAATAATCTTACTGCCAACATTGAAAAAAAAAAAAAAAAAAAGAACAAAATTCAAACGAAAATTTTTGATCTCTATATATACTTATATACGTAATGAGTACACAAATTATTTTTTTTTCTTTGCAAAAAGAGAGAGATAGAAATAGACTGAGTAAAAAAGAGAGAGAGAGAGAGAGAATATAACGAAATACTTATATTTTGTATAAACTATAAAATCAAATATAATGAATCAGCAAAAAGGAAAGAGAAAAAAAAAAAAATTTAAAAAATTTTTTTTTCTCTAATCAAGGTGCAAACAATTACTTTTTGATTGCTTAACTTTTGCATATTTTTTTTGTGATCGTATTAAACAAAACCTGATAAATACATTTCAAATGGTACTAATAATAATTATCAGGTACAAAACATTAAAATAATAATAATAATAATTTAAAATTGTCCTAGTAGTTGCTGTAAAAATTATTTCACTACCTTAGTTTTTTTTTATTGCGTTTGTTTCGTGGATAATAAACAAACAAACAAACGGTACGATGAAATAAAAAAAAGAGAGAGAGAGAGAGAGAGAAAAGAAAAAGGGAATTGAATTTTTAAAGCCAGGTCACTTTTTTTTTTTTTTAAAACGAATTCCTTTGTTGGATACCACATCATGATGGTAGAACAACAACAACAACAAAAATAAAATAAAAACTTACGTGTAAAAAATATTTTTTCTTTTCAAAATCCAACGATTCCTCTCTCTCCACCAAAATAAAATAATTATTTTACTTATTAAAAAAAAACGAACAAACGAACAAACAAACAAAAAAAAAAAAAATGACACCGTGAAAAATAAATTAATAATAATAATTCGTGTAAAATATATATCGATCACTTCGATTCATTAAAACGATTATAAAATAATTGATTAATTAATTATTAATTAAAACATAATGATAATAAAACACTTTTAATAATTAACGTTTTTTTGACTTATTACATACTTTTTGTACTTGACAATTGTAACCTTACTACACAGGTAAAACAATTTTTTTTTTTTTTTCTATGTATACACACACATACATATAATATTATTACAAACCGTGTTTAAATAAAAAAGGCACCTAAAATACACGCACGCACGCACGCACACGTACACGCACATAAATTAATAATTACGAATTATTAAATAAAATAATAAAAACTTTACCGCGAAGTCACGCATTTTTTTTTTTTTTTTTTTTTTTTTTTGATCTTACTTTATAAAAACATTTATTCAATTTGTTTTACTATCTCGACTCTAAAGCATTCCTCTTACAACTAATGATGCCAACCGTTCGACAAACACGCGGCTAACTACAGTGCTGACCTCTTACGTAAATTAAATTAACTAATAAAAAAAAAGTCAAGCCCCAGACAACAAAACAATATTTGAGACAGGGTTATTTATTTATTATTATTATTATTATTATTATTATTATTAATATTTTACCTTTAATTAAAAAAAAAAAAATTATTAATATGAAAAGGTAATTTTATTAAATCTATAAATCTTTTTATTTATTGATTTAGTCTAGATGATATTTTTATAAAATGGTTAGATTTCCAAAATAATAGAATATAATTTGATGATTATTATTCAATTATGTATGCCTTAAAATTAAGTCAATTCAATCATTCATATTTTTTAAACCTTTCTCTGACATTTTTTTTTTTCATTTTTATTATAATTATAGTTTTATTGTTGAATGGAACATGAAGAGAAAATGCAAAACTCCTGTGGTTGTTAGTAACGGTTTTTGTTTACGATTTCAAAATTACCCTCATTTGACATCCAAACATTATGCGTTGAAATAATGTGTTGAGAAAAACATATTCTTTTTATTCTTCTTCTTATCAAATTTCATTCTAAATAAATTGTTGTACATATATCACTTTTAAAATGTCTGTTTATTTCGAGAAAAAAATTTCAACAACGTTTGGAGATATATGTTCTAATATAACCTGGTATAAAGATGTAAAATTGGCAATAGCCTCATATTCACAAGAAAAAGGAGGTTATTTAAAATTATATAAACCAGCAGTAAGTTTCGATTGTATTTCATCATACAACAACCATTTTAAAAATGCTAAAAATTTTGTTTACCTGCTTTTTCAGTCTGGTGATATCATACTGACAAATATTCAAAATTCTAAAGCTGTGAGCTGTGTCGGATGGCATCCTACCGGTTTTTTATTTGTCGCTTGGGATTTCGGGTCATTATGCTTTTGGTTCGAAGATACAAATGAAATATTTAATGTCGAATCTCCACATCAAGCTACTATAAATTTACTAACATTTAGTCCTAAAGGAAACAGATTAATATCAGCAGACATTGTAATTAACAAAAGTATATTAAAAAGTTATTTATTGAATTTTCGAGTTAATCTGTTGCATCATTTTTAGGAAGGAGGTTTAGTAGGTTGGAACTCTTGTGGAAAACAATTGTTAACTGCATTTCATCATCAATTATCCAATCCTGTGTCACATGTAGCTTTCAGAACTCCTTCAATAAAGGGTTTGTCGACAACATGATTTTACTCATTATAATGCAATATTTAAAACTTTTGCATAAAAAATGTTCATCATATTATTTAGGTTTGGTAGATCTTCGAAATGCTGCAAAAGCAGCTGTGGCTGGTGATCCTGCTGCACTGGATTTGTTCACAAATTTAGATATGTTTACATCATGGAGACCTAAAACAGAAGGTGGTAAAGATAATACAGTTGGGTCAGTTCATTCAGACAGTCAATCATTTTATGCTGCATCCTCTTCAGGTATAAACTTTATTCGTCAAAAATAAAATCTAATTTTTTAAAATTTCAATTTATTTTTTTTAAGGTGCTATTTTTTACATCACTGAAAATGGAAGATGCCAAGAAGTTTTTGATCTTGGTTGTGGTTGCAAAGATATTTTATATAGAAGTGATAGAGACCAATTAATTGTTCTAACGGAATTAATGGCGGTTGTTCAGTTTACCATATCTTCTGAAGGTGGATTGGAAGAGTTGATGAAAGTAAAAAAACCCTTACCCATAATTTAATTCAATTAAGAAATTATAATTACATTTGGTTTTAAAGTAATTTAGTATTAATAGGTTAAACTTAGCAAAGGCAATCAAGAAGTTTCTTCAAGTATGGTATGGACAAAACCGGGAATCGTAGCCATAAATTCAGGTACATCGTCTATCAGATTATGGAATTTGGATAACGGTGACAATTCTGCACTGAATTTACCAAACGAAAGCAATCATGCTGAGTATTTCACTTCTCTTTCATACTGTTCCTCAAAAGGTTTTTTGTTTATTTGTAACCTTCATCCCTTTCGAATCCAAACAATTTTACTTTAAAAGGTAATTTTTTTGTAATTAAAGGTTTATTGTGCGGAGGAACCAATGCGGGAAATTTAGTAATTTGGAGAAAAGGAGAAGAAGATTGGGAAATAGAAAATACAATTCCAACATCTGCTCCAGTTAAAGAATTACTCTGGGGTAATGAATTACTAGCTGTAAATACTTTGGCTGGTTTATATGTTTTAAAACAACAGCCATTAGCTGCTTGCCATAATCAAAATGTAATATTAATAATTTCAATTACAATAATTAATATTTCTAAAGGTTCTTATAAAAAAAAAGTTATTGTATTTTTGTTTTTAGATTACAGCCATTCAAACAACTGGAAGTAATATTTTACTTGTAATAGGAGATGATGAAAAAAATATAAGTATCAATTGTGAAATTCAAATTCATGGCGTTACGGTATCAAATAAATACTGTGCAGTCTGGAGCGATAAAAACGTTGTTTCGTATATTATAACATCTAATGCGGGTGATGCCATGAACACTCAAGTTGCAGGTTCACATTTTTTTTTTGTTTCAAAGACCTTCGGTTACTTAATTATTTAATTATTTTGTTGTCATCATTTTTTCCCTTCAGGTACATTTAATTGCATATGCGAAGATGCGGGGATTTTCGATGAAAGTTTGATAGTTTTGGAAAGAGAAAGAGTAACATTGAGAACAATACAAGGGACAGTTAAACAAACACTTTTTTTAATTGCAACCGAAGGTACACCAATAATTATGGGTTTAAACGGTCATTTTACAACCGTCGTCACAACTCAGGGTTACCTTAAAGTTTGGGATATTTCTAGAAGGTTTGCCGTATTTTTCACGTAACCTCTGTTTTTATTTTTTAAGGTACAAATTAATAATTTTTTTTTTTTTTTTTTAAGGGAAGCTAAATTGCAAAGCTCGGCAAAAAATCTAAATGAAATGATTGAAGATTACGGTGAAGCTATTAGCGCTTCGTCAAATAGTAAGGGATCAAAAGTAGCTCTGATCATAGCTTTGGATACCATGATACCCGACACGAAACTTTACGTTTTAGACCTTGAAAATGATACCGTTCAATGGATTGATTTTACTAATGGAATGACTTACGTTCGAGAGGACAATACGATATCTCAGTAAAAAAAAAAAAAAAAAAATTTTATCATTCTGATCATATTTTTTTTTTTTGCAATATTCCGTACGAATAAATTTTAAATTCGTTTTAGAAACGTTACTGATAAAGTATTATCATCTTTTAAATGGGATACGAACGATCCGAAATTGTTGGTATGCCATACCAAATCTATGCCATTCAATTCGAAAAATAAAGATAAAGATACCGTAAATAAAGAAAATTTTGCCGTTTTAATGTGGACCTGCAACGAAAAGGGAATTCTCGTTCACGAAGTGAGTCGAAGATACGATTTTTCAATTTTTGTTTGTTTTTACCCTATAAAGCATAAGAGTCGTCCATTTTTTGTTTTTGTCCTTACTTAGATTATATCGGTAAAAGGTAGACAACCGAAATTGTTGGCTTGCAGCGCTCCAAATATTTTTTTCATTTCCGGAAGTAAAAATGATGCGACGGATAAAATAATGATGGGAGATTTTAACGGAGTCGAATGCACTTCGGAAGCGACGAAAAATGCTATACTTAATTTTAGTTATAATTTAGCGGTTGGCAACATGGATTTGGCTTTTAAAGCTATAAATGCAGTTTCCAGGTAATATTTTTAATTCAAAAAAACGAACCGGTAAAATGAATTTTTAAAAATTGAAACAACAAAAATTGGTTTTTACACAGCGAGTCTGTTTGGACCAACTTGGCTAAAAATTGCGTGAAATCGAAACGTTTAGATGTGGCCATAGTTTGCATAGGTAGAGTCAAAAATGCCAGGATTGCCAAAGCACTGAGAGAAGCCTCAAAAGAACCAGAATTGGAAGCTAGGGTTGCCATTCTCGCAGTTCATTTTGGAATGTTTGTAAGGATTAAAGTTTAAAATTTATTCTTTCGAATCGGGATCCAGGATTAAGAAAAATAATTAGTTTTGTATCGCGTTCATTTCAGGAAGATGCAGAAGAATTATTTAAATCGTGCAAAAGATACGACTTGCTGAATAAATTTTATCAGGCATCGTCAGAATGGGACAAAGCCATCGAAGTTGCCGAAACGAACGATAGAGTACACGTGAGAAACACGTATCATTCGTATGCTCGACATTTGGAACAAAATGGAGAAATCGATGCCGCTTTAGAAAATTATGCGAAAGCGGATACGCATAGAATTTACGCTCCGAGACTTCTTCTAGACGATTTTCCTAAACTTAAAAACTACGTCGATCAATCTCTCGACCCGTGAGTTTTAGATAATCGATTCGGATAAATAAGTACAAGTTAAAAAAAAAAAATGATTCGTTTTTGTATTTTAGTGTTTTATGCAAGTGGATAGCGCAATACATGGAAAGTCAGGGAGATATGGACATGGCATTGAATTATTACACTCTCGCCAAGGATCATCTGTCAATAGTACGAGTTCTTTGTTTCCTCAACAGTTTCGAACAAGCGAGAGACATTGTCGAAAAAAGCGGAGACAGAGCGGCAGCTTATCACTTGGCTCGTAAATTGGAAGCCATGGATAAAATAGAAGAAGCATTGAGTTTTTTTACACGAGCGCAAACTTATGGCAACGCGATTAGGCTTTGCAAGGTTTGTAAAACAAAATATAAAATCAAATCTATAAAGTTTAACCGAGGTTTGTTAATTTTTTTTGTTTTTGTTCTTATTAAGGAAAACGGTTTGGTTGATAAAATTTGGAGCGTTGCTTTACCAGCTTCTTCGGCAAATAAAGCGGATGCTGCACTTTACCTTCAACAACAGGGGGAAATTGAAAAAGCCATACTTTTATATCACAACGCGGGTTTAGTACATAAAGCATTGGATTTGGCTTTCAGGTTGTTTTCATTAACGTTATTAAAAATGTAAATCAAACTTACGAATTAGCTTAAATTCCCTTTTCTTATTTCAGTTCTGGAAACAAACAAGTACTCGCAAGGATATCATCCGATTTATCTTCAGATACCGATCCGGTTTTGCTTGAAAAACTCGCAGAATTTTTCATTTCGAATTACCAATACGATCGTGCCGTCGACGTTTTGGCCACAGCTGGAAAAGTAATTTTTTTAAATTATTATTTTCGAATCGAAAAATAAATAAATAAAATGAAAATTTTTCGTAGATTTCGGAAGCGATTAATTTATGTTCGGAGCATTCGGTTCCACTCACCGACGAACTCGTGGAACGATTGAATCCTTCTGGACCGGAAAAGAACAAATTACTTTTAGAAATAGGAGAATGTGCTTTGGGACAGAATAATTATCATTTGGCAACTAAAAAATTTACACAAGCTGGAGATAAAGTTAGTTGACTATTTCAACTTTCTTCTATCTGCATTTCGACTGCCATATTTTAATGAATTTTTTTCTTTTGTTAAGGTTAGAGCAATGAAAGCTCTTTTAAAATCCGGAGATACCGATAAAATTATATTTTTGGCCGGTGTTTCAAGAGAAAAAGAAGTTTACGTAATGGCGGCAAATTACTTGCAAGCATTGGATTGGCGTTCGAATTCTCAACTTCTCAACACTATAATACAATTTTATTCGAAAGCGAAAGCTCATTCCGCTCTTTCTAATTTTTACGTGGCTTGCGCAAACGTAATGTTATTTATTTATTTATTTATGCGGAAACCTAAAAAAAAAAAAAAAAAAATCATTTGCTGCTGCTGCAAAAAAAAAATTATTTTTTTTTTTAGGTTGAAATAGAAGAATATCAAGATTTCGATAAGGCAGCCGTCGCTTTAAACGAAGCCAAACGATGCCTACATAAAATTTCGGATGAAATATCGGCACGAAGAGCTTTGGAAGTCGTTGAAAGTAAAATAATGATGATACATAAATATTTGAAAGCAAGGAAAATGTTCGAAAACGGTTTGCAAGAGGACGGTACGGAAGAATGCAATCAACTCCTTATGGAACTTCGTAGAAATCCGACAATCGTACGAATCGGTGACGTTTACGCTTTGATGTTGAAATACGCGGAAAATATACCGCAAGCAAGAGAATTGTAAGTCCTGGAATGGATGGTGGGGGGGAAGTTTCCTTTCTTAATGACATTTAAACGGTATTAATAATAATATTGTCATATTAAAATTTTAGATTTGAAGCAATGAAAAAAGAAGTGGACGATCCGACAAATTACTTACAATTATCACTATTGGAATCTTTGGGTTATCAAAAACCGTTGAGGATTTCGAACGAATTGGATGACGATTTGGGTTTCGAAGTAAATTAATAAATTTATATGACAACAACCGAATCGATTTATATACTTTCCGCACCCACCCCCCCCCTGTAATTTTTCCCCGTGATCGATTCAGTATTCAGTAAACGAGCATCACGAAGAAAAAAAAAAAAAATGCGAATGCAATGCAATTATTAATCCGTCCAAAAAAATTATTTTTAAGCGTAGAAACGTTCGGGGTGATTTTTTAATTGATCTCTATTAAGCATAATTTTTTTTATCAGTCTGTGATAACAATCACATTTTAATTTAGTAAAAAAAAAAAAAAAAAAGAAACAGTACCTCAATTTTTTTTTTTTTTTTAAATTTCAATCATCAATCAAAGTTTAACCTAATTGTATCGATAAATTTAATTTATTGATTATTATTATTATTATTTTTATTATTACACGAAATAAAAAAAAAATTTTTTTAAATTATTATTATTTTTGTAAATTTTCTTCCATTTTGTTTTGTTTTTTTTTTTTTTTTTTTGTTAGATTATTAATATTTTTTTTTTAATAACGTATTCAAGTAAAAAACTAAAAAAAAAAAATTTATTTTAAAAATTATATGAATTATTATTATTACTATTATTATTTATTTTATTAATAATAATTAAAATTGTAATTAATAAGTAAAAAAGAAAGCCTCAATGTTTAAAAAAAAAAAAAAAAATAGAAAGAAAAAAGTCAAGGAGGCATCAGTATAAAATGTTTATTTATAAAAAAATTTTTTTTTAAAAAATATATTATTTAGGTTATTATCAAAATTATTATTAACTTTCAAATGATTAATAAAAATAAATAAGGTTAATAATAGAAAAAAAAAATAATAATAAAAATGATTTATTAGTCATGAAATGAAATTTAATAAAATTTGATATTAAATAATGACTTTTAATAAAAGTCTTATTGTAAAAAATACAAAAGGAAAAGGGATAAAATTAATGTTATTATTAAGTAGGCTAAGCCATGTGACAAATAATAATTTGCAAACGTGTAGCATAAATAAATCAAAAGGTTCATTCAATGATGGAAATTCTTCTAAATCGGATAAGAAAAAATTAAAATTCGACGATGTGGATGTTGCATTTAAAGTCAAGACAACGTGGGAATTGATACGTGCCTATGCCGTTTATCAAATGTTAAGCATACCTCCATTTGTCAAACACAACATGGTTCTTATGAAATTTACAAATAAATTACTCGGTGATAGATTATTTACATATTTGATGAAAATGACATTTTACGGTCATTTCGTTGCCGGAGAAGATGAGAAAAGCATGGCGCCGATATTGAAAAGAATGCATTCGTTCGGTGTTAAATCAATATTGGATTATTCCGTTGAAGAAGATATATCGCACGAAGCCGCGGAAAATTTAGAAAAGAAAGCATTTGAAAATGCCAAAAGCGATTTACCACAATTCAAAGTCGACGATCATCATTTGGACAGACGTGAAAAAGTCGTGTCCGCGAGAACATTTTTTTACGAAAGCGAAGCCGCTTGCGATAGAAACATGGAAACGTTTCTTAAATGCATCGAATGCGCATCTAAAGCCACGTACAATACCGGAATGATAGCCGTTAAATTGACGGCACTTTGCAGGCCAAAACTCCTGTTGCAAATATCCGAAGTCATAACGAAATCGAGAATGTACATAAAGGAGTTATCCACGCACGAATTTCGTCCGATAATTCAACAGAATTTAACGACGGAAAAATTAAAAGAACAAATGTCTTCGGCATTTGAAAAAAATTCCGGTGCCCAAAAATTCGTGCAATCCGTGACGTCGGATGAAGAAGGAGTACTCATACATTTGTTTCCATGGAGTGGAATATTAGATGAAAATTTTAATTTCAACGAAACGTTTCAAGTTCCCGATTTGAAAACTGGTGAAATGGTACAATTCACGACGCAATTAACCGAATGCGAAATGAATCAATTTAGAAACATGATAGGTAGGCTGAATAAGGTTATAAGAGCAGCCGTGGAATTAAACGTACCCGTTTTGGTGGATGCGGAACAAACGTATTTTCAACCCGCCATTTCACGTTTAACCATCGAACTCATGAGAAAATATAATAAAAATAAAGGAATAGTTTACAACACATATCAAAATTATTTAATATCCGCATATAACGAAGTTATAAGCGATTTGGAACAAGCCAGAAGACAAGATTTCTTTTTCAGATGTAAATTAGTGAGAGGTGCTTACATGGAACAGGAAAGAGAAAGAGCGAAAGAAATGAATTATCCTGATCCCATACAACCGAGTTACCAAGCGACATCCGATAATTATCATAATATATTAATTGAATGTTTGAAAAGGATAAAAGATTTGAAAGACAAGGGTGTGAAAGAGAACAAAATCGCAATCATGGTTGCGACACATAACGAAGACACGGTTTCATTGGCAATTGAAAAAATGGAAGAAATCGGTATAAAACCCGATGATGGTACCATTTTATTCGGACAGTTGTTCGGAATGTGCGATTTTATTAGTTTCACTTTGGGTACCAGAGGTTACGGAATATATAAATACGTACCCTACGGCCCTGTCATTGATGTTTTACCCTATTTATCGAGGAGAGCCGTGGAAAATAAAGGAATATTACAAAACGTTAGAAAAGAAAAACAATTGATAAGGAAAGCCATTATTAAAAGGTTAAAAAATTTTGATATGAATAGAAATCCTATCGGACCTATAAAACCTCCCGCATAAGTTTTTAATTTGACTTACGTAGTAGTAATTTATTTTCTTTTCTTTTTTTTTTTTTTTTTTTTAATAAATAAATAAATTTTTCTTTTTGTTATTTTCCTTTGCAAAATTTTTCGTTCGCAAAAAGAAAAGAAAAACGAACGAAATGAAAAAGATTAATAATAATAATAATAATAATCTTTCAAATAAAAAACAATTAAATCGTTCGAATAATAATAATAATAATAATAATAATAATAAAACAAAAATGGTTTACTTACTCGAAAACGGAAAATGCGCGTGAAAACTCCAAACTTTTCCTTCTTCTCGATTACGGTGATTACATCTGTCGTGAAAAAAAAAAAGTTTTATTTTTAATTTTATATATATTATCATTTATTATTATTATTATAATTATTAATAATAATATACATATGCATTTATTTTGTTTATATTTTTTTTTTTTAATTTTTAAATAAAATACAATAAAAACACAGAGCGATTAAACAATAATACAGTAAAATTAATTATGTATTCTTAAAATGATACGTCACTTAAAAATCCGAATATGCGTTTTGAATAATAATAATAATAGTAATAATAATGATAATGATAAAACTACGTTGATGATGATAATAAAAATTCAAAAAAAAAAAAAAAAATTAAATTTACGTTATTTAAATTTGACGTTTTTCTTTTTCAAACAAAAAAATAATGTGAAATTTTTTTATTCTAATAATAATTATTATTATTAATTAAAAAATCAAATAAAAAAAATTAATTTATAAGGAAAAAAAAAGGGGGCGCTACACGTTTCATCATCATCATCATCGTCTTTATTATTATGCATTCAAGAAATTGTACGTAAGGAATGGAAAAAAAAACTTTTTGGTATTTCCTGTCATTCAATCGAGAATTTTTTTTTTTTTTTATGTGTGTGTGTGTGTGTGGGGAAACGTATAACAATGACTTCGTGTGTTCGTGCGTGTGTGCGTGTGTATGCGTGCGTGCATGCGTGTTTCTATCAAAGTTAAATTTTCAATTATTTAACCCCGAAATTTATTTAACAAAAAAAACCTTTTTTTTTCCCCCCGATCGTTTTGACAAATTTTATTTTTATATGTATCAAATGTGAATCGAGGATTATTGTTCGTTTTCGAAAGTTCCGTTGTTGTTCCCCCCCTCCCCCTCCCTTCCCGAAACGAAACAACAGCTGTTTCTAATAATAATGATAATAATAATAATCAATTTAACTTCGACAACCCACATATTTCGTTTTTAATTTCATCCTATATGTAAATTTATATACATAAGTGAAATTTAAAATAATTTACCCTTGTTCGTTATGTTATTCTTACGGTATTCAATTTTTAATTAATAATAATGATAATGATAATAATAATAATGATAATAATAATGCAATTAACACGAGTACGAGGTGGCAATTTCAAAAACGTTTCAAATGAAAACAAAACAAATGAATTTTTTTTTTTTTTAATAAAATAATTTTTTTAAATGAAAAGCAGAAGAAAAAAACGTCACACGCACACGCACACACACTGGAATTATCAATTTTAATAATAATAATAATAATAAAATGACACAAAAATTTATTTATTTATTTATTCGCAAAAAGTTTTTACGTAAAACTTTTTTTTTTTTTTTTTTGGAGCCGTTAAAATTTCATTGATAAATTTTCTCTCTCTCTCTCTCTCTCTCTCTTTCTCTTTTCTCTTTCTATCTCTCTTTCTCTCTCTCTTTTTCTTCATTCTGGTCATTTCCCTATATAGTCCGTCTCAAAAGTAAAACAATTATAAAATATTGGTTTGTTACTTTTCAATGAACCTGTATATTAGCATCGTTTTTTTTTTCCTTTATCGGAAATATAAAAACTTTAATATCGCCTACGTTTAGCTTACGATAAAAAAAATTCAAAATGAAAAAAAACAAAATCCCTCCCATTTCTTTTAACCAAACATAATAATAATATATCGCGTTTATCATATTATACATAAAAAAATAAAATAAAACATTTGACTCAGTCACTCACTGGATAGCTTTCTGTTCGTATACGTTTTGTTTGTTGTTTGTCTCCCGCGTTTGTTCGTGATTATAATTTTTTTTTTGTCTCTCTCTCTTTCTTTCTATCTTTCTTTCTTTCTTTCTCTCACTCATTTCTTTTCATTGTTATTAGTATTATTATTATAAAAACCATTTTTTTATTTTTCGTTTGTCTCGGTGGAATTTTTTTTTCTTATTTAATTATTATTAAATAACGGTAAGTTTATTTATTTATTTTCAATCGTTAATAATATTAATAATAATAATAATTTTTAAATAACTTATTAACTTATTAATTAAAAAGAAAAAGAAAAAATAAATAAAAAATAAAAATAATGAATCGTAAAAATTCAAAAAAACATTGATTTGATTCATTATTAAAATTTATTTTATTTATTTAATTTTTTCTCGATAAAATTATTAATAATGATGATGATGATGATGATGATGATAATAATGTATCGATTCATTGATTTGATTTGACGTAATTTTTTTAATTATTAAAAATTTTCTAGTTTTAAAATCGTTGGAATTTTTTTTTTTGTAAAAATCGATCACGAATTTTTTATTTTTCTCCGTATTTTTCATTCATTCATTCATTCATTCATTCATTCGAATAAATTTTCATTCCTTTGGTTTATCAAAAGGCAACAAAATGACAATTTTTTTTTTAGCATTCGTTTCGTATTTTTTTTTTTTTTTCGAAGCGAAAAACTTTATCGATGAGACAAACACAAAGAAATTTTTCCAAATCGAAAACAAAATACAAAAACGTTTCCCCCTTTCCTTCCTTTCCCCAAAAAACAAATTTTTTATCGGGATAACGTATTCCACAGATAAACACAAAACTTTTTTTTTTTTGGAAATTCAAAATACAATAAATAAATAAAAAAAATTGTTGTTGTTGTTGTTGATTTTAGATAACGCGACACGAAATTTACAATAATATATATATAATCATACATTCATCGTCGAGATTATTATTATTATTATTATTCATAACAACAACAACAAAAACAACCATCGATAGAATATTAAATTTCGATATGCTTAGAAATATGAGTTAAGCAATTATTATTATTATTATTATTATTAGGCTTTTCACACATGATCCATTGTTAAAAAAAAAAAAAAAAGTCCTTCGATGACAAAAGTCAGCGATTTTTTTTTTTTTTTTCTTAACAATTTCAAAACGACGGTTAAAAAAAAATTAATAATAATAATAATAATAATAATAATAATAATAATAATAATAAAAGTCCGTGTGAAATGTTATGTTATTATATAAAATAAATTTTTGTTATGAAAAAACAAAAAGAAAAGTTTCAAATATTTCAAAATCATAACCGTGACGACCGAAAAACTTAATTTTTTCCAAATACCTGAATTTTTAAATAATTATTGTGTTTATATTTAAAAAAAAAAATTTTTTTTTTTTTTGTTTCTTATAATTAAAATTCAACCGGCAGCTGTTTGTTGTTGTTGTTGTTTGAAAAAAAAATACATTTTATTACTTTTTTTTTTTGTACAAAAAAAAACAAACGGAAATAGAAAAAAAAGCAGAAGAAAAGAAAGAAAGAAAAAAAAAAGGATTTTGTGTTATGTTTGAACCTGCAAGTGTCAGGTCAAAAATAAAAAAAAATTTCCTTTTTTCTTTCTCTCTTTCTTTTTCGTTATTATTATTATTATTTTTGGAACGAGGGAGGTGGTGGAGCGGGGAGAGGACGGGAAGATGAAAGATATGTAATAAAACGTGTCGATGCGTTCGAAATAAATTTTATAAATAAAAAATAAAACCGATCGATCGTTTTCGAAAGCAACCATTACAAAACGAACGTCACAAATTTTGGTTGGCGGGAAGGAAGTGATGGTGGTGGTGGTTGGGGAGGGGGTATAGGAAACGTCGTACCTGAAACGAAATGAAAATCTTATCGATTCGAACGAAAAACAAACAAACAACAACGAAAGAATCTTCTTAATGAGATTTTTTATTTTTTTTAATTAATTTTTTTTTAAAATATTATTCAAACCGGAACAATTTCTCTCTCTCTCTCTCTCTCTTTTTCTCTCTTTCTCTCTCTTTCTCTCTCTTTCTTCAAATCAATGAAAAAAATCATTAATAACAGCAAAAAGCAAAATAATAATAATAGCAAAGTGAAATTATTATAACGTCCGGTAATAAAAAAAAAATTCTTAATAATAATTAATTATTATTATTATTTTAAATTATCAATGGCTACGAGTAATAAATTACGGTCAATTACGTATCAAGTATAAATTTATAAATAGAAAAAAAAATTTTGAATTGTAAAATTTTGTGAATATATTACGTCATTAACTGAAAACCGCAAAAAAAAAAAATTTTCCAGAATTCCAGAAATTTAAAAAAAAAAAAAAAAAAACTAAAAATCGTTAGACCGTTGAAGATTTTACGACCAAAATGTCGTTTTTAGGTAAAAAAAAAAAAAAAAAATAATAATAAGCCGTCCGAGTTATCTTTCAAAATGTTATTAAACGAGTCAAAATGAAAATAAAAAACAATTATTTAATTTATTTTTCGTGGGGGGTGAGCTGGGATTAATTGCCTTCCCCCCCATTTTTTTTAATTCTTTAAAAATCGAAATTCATTGTCTTATTTAATTTGTATGGCAGCTGCATCTTCTTTTTTTTTTTCAATAACAAACCATAAACAGATAATTTTTTCCCCCTTTTCCTACACTCCTCCCCGGTGCCCCCCCAAATCCCTTCTCTCCCGATTTTTTCATTCAAAAAAAAAAAAAAAATGGACAGATATTTCATTTAATCAATCTTTATTTTGTCCTTCTTAATGTTGAATTTTTTATTCCCTTTTAAAAAATGTTTTTTTATTAAATCCACACATGCCTGTGACGTCACTCAAAGCCACGTGACGTAGGAAAATTTTAAAATTTTTAAACTTTTATGTAAATTTTATTTATTTATTT